CCCAGCACTGGGGCTGCTTGCTCTGTTCTGGAAGTTTCTCCAGCATATGGGGGAGGGGAGAATTAGAGACCAGGAGTCCTGGGATCTGGAAACACAGGGCGAGGCGAGGCCAGGGCAGGAGGGTGGCCCCAGGGAGCCGCGCTGGACACTCTGGCTGGCCCTCCCCTACCTGGATTCTCCAGGAGAGAGGCCCTGCAAAGCCATCAGCTCCCAGAGCCAGGTGGGGAGACGAAGAGCCTGGCGGGGTGTCCGCTGGGGTGGGGGCCTGCAGGGGGCAGGGCTGGAGAAAGGCACGTAGGCCAGAGACCTCTTCCCGGGGACCTTGGGCAGCCCCGTGCCCTCTCTGGGCTGCTTCCTGGGGGAGCGTCTGGGTGCACACTGGACGGTTCATGCTCCTTCCCCCTTGGAACTGCCTCTTCGAACAGAATCTTACTAGAGCCTCATAAGGGCCAGGGGAGCAGAGGGGCCACTGCAGGCGGAGATGGGAGGCCCCCCAGACCGCAGCCCGGCCCGGCCGAGCAGACTCTCCCCAGCTGTCCCGGCCGTGTCGGGGGGCTTAGTGTCCAGCTGGCTCAGAGCTAAGCTCACCCCACGACTGGCTGATGACCTTCGGCGTCCACGGGGACACGCTGTGCGGACCTAGGGCTGGAGGGAGGACTATAGGCTCACACACTGTTGCCAAACACATTTTGGGGAAGAAGAGAGAAAAAGCCAAACAAGCAGAACATTGTCCACCTGCTGTTGCCCTAATGTGGAGCCGGTCCTGAAACAGCCGGGTCTCAGGGCTGGGGCTGTGTGACCAAGGCCCCCCAAAGGCTAACATGACGCAGACGCAGGCTCAGCAGGGTTTCGGGCCCAGCAGCCCAGGCGTTGGCACAGCACTGAGCACATCAGAGCTGGGAAGGCCCTGTAGGCAGCCAGCCCAGCCAGCAGGCCCGATGGTCGAGGCTGTGCCCGGGTCAGAAACAGGCAGGGACTTAGGTCCTGGCTCTGCTCTGGGCCCTTTCCTATGCCCCCTTTTCTTGTCTTCCCAGAACCCAGCTCTTCTGCTTCCTCATCTGCACCCCGTCCCTCGTGTTCTGGAGAAACGTGAGGAACCAAACAAGCACGCCCGTCCGGCTGCCCCGCCATCCTCGCAGGGCAGGTGCCTGAGCGCGTTCACACATTCAGCTAACGTCAGTGGACACCGAGATACACGCGCCTCGACAGCAGAGCGGCTCAGGGACTCAGGTGACGGAAGGACCCGTGTGAGTGCACCCTCCCCCGAAGACGTCCACGTCCTGGTCCCCGGAACCTGGGAACATGTGACGGGACAGGGCAAAGGGACCTGGCGGGTGTGATTAAGGTGAGGCTCTTGTAGGGGAGGCTCTGGACGACGCAGGTGGGCCCAGTGTCGTCACAAAGGCCCTTATAAATAAGAAAGAGGAGGGTGGGCGGGTCGGAGGGAGAGAAGAGTGGGGATGCAGGCAGGGGGCTGAGAGAGACTGGAGACACCACACCGTTGGTCCCGAGGACGGAGATGGGGCCATGAGTCACGGATGCAGGCGCCTCCCGAAGCTGGAAAAGGCAGGAAGTAGACCCTGGCCTGGGGCCTCCAGGAGGAACACAGACCTACGCACGAGCTCTGAGCTTCTGCTCCGTGCTGGTGCTGCTGGAGGCAGAGCCGTGCAGAAAACAGGGGAGATTTCTGGCTGTTCTAACGGGGAGGGCGTGGGAGGTGCTTTTCACTCCCTGCAGCTGCTGTGGGTCTAGGTTTTTTATTGAAACCAAAGTAGGCCAAGTGCGTCTGGGTGCGGAAGCTCTCCGTGGGGGCGGTGCTCCCGTCCACTGTGGGGCTGGATCAGGACAGCTGAGGCCAGCTCTTCCTATTGCAGGATGACTCGTTTGTCTGAATGACCCAGTAACACCCTTCGGTCTTTGTCTCTGTCATCGGACGGAAGCCGTGTTGTTACAATCCTGGTCTTCAGGGCCACCTAGCTCAGCAACTTCCGGACAGGGCTCCTGGGGAGCCCCTGGGGCTGGGGGCACCGGGAGTGACGGGGTCTGACAGCAAGGGGCTTCTCAGCCTCACTTCTTCACCAGAGCAGCGCCCTTCCCTCCCACTTAAGGCCCGTGCTTCCAGCCTCCGTGTCTGAGGTTCAGAGGGAACAGAGCACCTGGAGCAAACCCCAGGCTGAGCCCAGATTTTCATCTTCCCCGTGAGCTGCAGACCAAGACAGAGTGATGGGCACAGCCCCAGGGAGGACAGCGCAAGGCCAGGGGTCCCCTCCAGGGAGCCCTCATCCTGCACCCGGCCTGCGGTGCTTGTGCAGTGAGGGAAGCCCGGCCGTGTGCCACCCCGACCCCCGGCCGGCCGGGATCACTACTTCAACTAAATGCTGATTTCCGTCCTTGGTGCCACGGACCCTCAGAGGGAGCACGTGTTGGGGGGTGCTGAGGGCCCACCGGGGGCTTCGAGCAGGTTATGCCATTGAGCAGAACCTGGTTCTCATTTGTGACGCGGAGGTGAAGATGTCTGCCCTCTGCACTTCACAGTTTTCTCCCGAGGATCAAAATGCGAGGATTAAAGGCCCAAGCGTGGGGCTTCCTGGATCATGAGAAGTCAGAGACGGAAAACACGTGCTGGGGGTGGCCCTCAGGCTGCCAGCTTTTGCGTCACCAGTTAAGGACATTGAAAGGAACCTCACGTCACCATCTGTCACGGGGTCAGTGTGCGGCCTTGTCCTAGGCAGCTTTCCAGGGGCCCCTGGTCTGAAAACAGCTTTAGTTAAAATAAGGAGGGTGGTGCTGAGTGCTGGGCGGGTGGTGAAGAGGGAGGATCCCTAGACGCTTTGCAAACATGAGAAGCACTGCGGGTCACGGCATGGGCACCAGCGGCCGGCACCCCTGCAGGTCCCCGAGGGGACAGGCAGCTGGACTCACGGCACAGTCTCTAATCGTGTTCCGAGGTTGCAGTTTGGGGGAATTTAAACCAAATGAGTTACAAGCCACGGAAATAATTTTGACGGGAAAAGACGAGGACAGAGAGCCAGCAACGCGTCACCGCGGGCAGGACCCCGCCGCCTCCTCGCTGCCTCTTCTGTCGCTGTGGGAGTCATCAGGCCTCTAGTGACGTTCACCGGGAAGACGTGGGCAGAAAACTGCACTGTCCTGGGCAGGAGACCCGCGGAGCCTGACTGCGCCGCGCTCTGCTGGGCGGGGGCGGCGGCCGCTGTGCCAGTGGCGGTTGGTGTCAGGGCCGTGCCCTGGGATGCCGGGGGCCACATCCAAGAACGGGGAGGCTCATGTGTGCCCCAAGCATGCAGGGGGAGCCCTAGGCCCTGAGACAGGCCGTCGGGGTTGGTTCCAGCATCACCACCGGCATCCTGGTTTGCAAAGCTCCCCGAAGAACCGCGTCCTTTGCTGTCAAAGTGACCCTCTCAGACTTGGGGATTCAGGCCCTTTGTGATCTAGGTCTTGGATTTAGACGAGCCTGGTCCCATTTCTGCCCCAGGCATTGACTGCATCCCCATGGCTGTGGTTCTGTCAGCGTCTGATTGGAACGCGCAAGCTGAGTTCAGGCCTTCAGGGAGGGCTCCACTGGGGGGCCTTCCGCTGCATGTGGCTTTGGCTGGGGTCACGCGGGAGGGCTTGACCAGCCACTGGCGTGGTCTGGAGCGTCCAGGAAGGCCTCCCTCACACACCCGGTGGCTGGGGGAGGGCTGGGCTTGGCGGGGACTCTCCACGTGGCCTCTGGCCAGGAGCTGGACGTCAGCCTGGGAGCTCAGGAAACGTGCCCAGAAGCCGGCCCCTTGGGCAGACCTGTGTACCTGTTTATCTATTTACTATTTATCTCCTCTGCCTCATCCTCAATTTCAAAGGAAGACCTAAAGCAGGTAAAGGGCTGAAACAGAAGAGTGGCCGCAGTTCTCCACGCCCCCTGGAACCACATCCTTCCAAGGGGACTTCGCACGACCTCCCTTCAGCCAGCTTGTCCTGTGGCCACTGAAGGCAGCAGGAGGGACATTGTGTCCGTCCCCAGACTCCCCCTCCTCAGACCCTGCGATGCCGAGTGTGCCCAGGCCAGCCTTCTGGGGGTCGAGGCTGGTGGAGGAGCCAGGCCTCCCGGCTGGGGAGCAAGCCCGCTGGGGCAGGTGCTGCCAGCCCAGCGTCGCTGCCCTGCAGACTCGTGAACAGGAGGGAGCCACAGGCCTTGGGCGCTTCGCTGCACCACCGGCCCAACCGGCAGCCGGCACCCCCATCAGGGCTTGACTGCTGGCGTCCGAAGGTCTCTGTTGGAGAGGAGCTCAGGGGACGAGTTAAACCCCAAGAAAGGGAGCGTCAGTGGAATTTGAAGCCTTGCAGCAACGAAGTAAGAAGATTTGATAGAGCCAGGAGCCCCTTTCGACCTCTAGCCTCCAGCTCCCGTCACCACGCAGCTCCTCTGGGCTCTGCATCCAACCAGAGGTGGTGCTCAGCCAGCGACAGGTGGGGCCCAGGCCCCAGGGAATCAGAACCACTCCAACCAGGGCTCTGCCGAGTTCCGTTCCAGGTGCTGGGCACACGCCAGCGAGGAACAGTCCACATCCAACAGCCACGAGAGCCGGTGTCTCCAGGGGAAGCGCTAAGAGCTAAGCGGGTCACAGGGGACCCAGAGCCAGGCTGGGGAATGGAGGGCACTGAGTGACCGCAGGTGCACTTTGAAAGGTTCCCAGAGAAGGTGACACCTGAGCAAAGACATAGAGAGAGTGGGGCCACTGAGTACCTGGAGGAGCAGCATTCCATGCAGGGAAACAGCAGTGCAAAGGCCCTGAGGCAGGAGTGAGCCTGGCTTGTTCTAAAAGCAGCCCGGGGGCCAGTGTGGCTCAGGTTTTCTGAGAGGGGCAGCGGAGGGGAGGGAGCAGCTACAGGAAACTCCAGGTGGGGCCGTTTGGAGACGGCAAGGACGTGGCTCTGGCCCAGGGACCCAGGAGGGCGCTGTGGGGCAGGATCTGGTCCCCAGCTGCCGTGTGTGGTAGGGCAGTGGTGGCCCTGGGAGTGCTGCAGGTGGCACGGACCAGGTGGGCTGGGCTCTGATTCTGGGTCTGTGTTGAAAATGGTGTTTGAACTGCTCTGACCCCCACAGCAGCCTCCAGGAAGGCCCACTTATCAGATTAGGAGACAGCCTCAAGGAGGTGACCTGACACGTCCCAGGCTTGCCCAGAGCAAAGTGCCTGCTCCTCGCAGTGGAGCCTGTTCGAGTGAGAGAGGAGGGGACATGCTGGGAGCCCAGGGACACACAGGTGGGGGCCAGGCCGCAGTCCCAGAGATCACACTCTTCTAGAAACTCCCGGGCCCTGCTCTTCCCATCGGTCAGCCTGAAGCACATGGGGGCAAGTGCCTGGGCTCACGGGGCTGCCCAGGGGGTGGGGGTGTCCACCCTCACAGTCCCTTACGCAGAGCCGGCTAATGCAGAGGCCTGCACCTCTCTTCCCTCAGGCTGGGTCTGGGAGGGCCCTGTGGAATGCATAGGAGCCCGTTGTTCAGATCTAGCCTGGGCTGCAGGGGCTGTCCCAGGCAGAGGGGTGGAGGCAGTAAGGATGGGGTGGGGGTGGGGTGGGGGGCTGAGCAGGGGATGCCCTCCCCTACCTGTGTGGTGCTGATTTCAGAGTCTGACCCGGCAGAAGGGTGCCCTGTGCCACCAGCACCCACACACAGTTCCCTGGGGTCCCAGCCTCCCCAGGGTCACCGCCCTCTGACACCAACCCCACAGGTCAGAGTCTCTTCTCGGGACCGCAGGGCTGTCTGTGAGGCTCAGTGCGAGGTCCACCGCGCCCCCGGCCACCATCCTCCTCCATCCACGGCTCTTCCCACATGGGCCCCTGCTGGGTGTGTCCTGGGAGACCCATCCCACTGCCATTTCCTGGGTGGTTGGACCAGTTCCATGGAGGGGCTTTAAAGGGCTGCACCGTTTAGGGAGCAGATGCCTCCCGTCTTCTCTGCCTGCAGGGTCACCCTGCACCAGAGCCCCTGGTCATCTGGGGCTATGTAACGGTGGGCCCTTCCCTTTGTGCCTCTGTGGCCCCTGAGGGGTCCCACCTGCAGCTGCAGTCGGGGGCGGCCTTGGGCCTCCCGGAGCCGCCCCTCCGTCCCCCTCTTTCCCGAGGTCGGCTCTGGCCTGCCCGCTGCCCCTCCTGACCGCATCTCAGGTTCTCAGACTCCATGTGTCCAAAGCAGAGCTCGCTGTCTGCTTGTCAGCCCCTCAGCCCATGTCCTCCTCCATTTTTTTCCTCCTCAGTGACCTCAAAGGGGATCCGGCAGGGCCCCTGCCGCTCAGCCCAGCCCCGGCCAGATGACGTCAGTCTGTCCTCAGTGTCGCCAGGATCCCTTCTTCTCTCCACCCCACAGCTGCGACCACAGGCCAGACCGAGAAGGAGATCCCCAGATTCTGCGGATAAGGCCAAATCAGACCCCAGCCCTGCAGCCAGAGGGGAGCCCCCACAGTCTACATCCACATGTGGCTCTCTTCTGCCCAAATCCTGGTGCTGGAAGCACAGCTGATCTCAGCACCATGAAGACAGACACAGAGGACGCCCTCCCTGCAGGTGGGATGCAGCCTGGGTGCGGAAATCGGCTCACAAGAGGGAAAAACAAAGAAAGGTGAGCTGGGTCTGGCCACACCACGGAGCCCAGTTTACAGGGAGGACAAGGGACACTGCTATGCTCTTGTCCCTGGCGAGTCCCAGGCCAAACGGCTCAGTCTCACCTGGCAGGACGTGAGCTCCTTGAGGGCAGGAATTTTGGGAACTGGTGTATCATAATGATCTAAAGTGGTGCTGACGCACAGTAGGTGCTTAGTAAGTACTTGTTGGAAATGAGTGGCTGAATATATAAATGAGTAAAAGAGTCCGTCCTTTTATGGCTGAATAATTTTCTGTCGTATGGACAGACCACTTCTTGTTCATCCATTCATGAGTCAGTGGACACATTGCCCTCGCCTCCTGGCTGCTGTGACTGTGGGCGTGCAAACATGCGTTTGTGTTCCTGCTTTCAGTTCTTTGGGGTGTGTGCCTAAGAGTGAAACTGCTGAATCATCTGGTAATCCTATGTTTAATTTTTGGAGGAACCACCACATTATACCCAGTTCAATTGAACACCAACACGACAAATGTTTATTGAGCTCTGCCATGTCATCAGATGAGATGAGGGCCCTCCAGGGAGCTGACAATTTAGACAGAGAAAACTGACATACGTAGGAAAGCAAGGGCCTATGAAAACAAGCCGCCCTGTCTGCTGTGACTGCCGGGAAGCAGGCCCCACAGGACCGGGCCTCGCCGAGAGCCTCACGTGCAGATGGACAGCCCGACCCCGGAGGGTTCCAGGAGGGTTCCTTTATTAGCGTGGGTCTGTGTCTGTTTCCTCTGGGCCCCAGCAGGACTGCCTGTTGGCCTTCTGGGGGAGAGGAGGGCGACCCTGGAGAAGGCGCTGTCCTACGGCTTTCAGTGTGCAGGTCTTTTCCTCCTCGGTTAAATTTCTTCCCAGATCTTTTGTTCTTTCCAATGCAGTTGTTGTGTGATTGTCTCCTCCGTTTCGCTTTCTGTTAGCTCGTTAGCGTGTGGAAATGACAGATTTGGGCGTCCTGAGTCGTGTCCCACCGCTTCGCCGACTCCCCTCACGGGCCCTGGCAGGGTTCGGGAGGTGTCTTCAGGATCTTCTGCGTGTGGTATTGTGTCCTCTGCAAACAGGGACAGTTCTCCTTTTCTTTCCTCTCTGGATCCCTTTTATGTCATTCTCTGGCCTGGCTGCTGTGGTGAGACCTTCCAGGGCTGCGCTGAATGAAAGTGGGGAGGGTGGGCGTCTTTGTCTTGTTCCTGATCTTCGAGGAGAAGTTTTCAGCTTCTCACGTTGACTGTGATGTTAGCTGGGGGCTTCTCATGTGGGGACTTTATTGTGTTGAGGTGTGCTGCCTCTGTGCCAGCTTGTTGAAGGCCTTTGTCATAAAGGGATGTTGAAGGAAAGGAGGTTGACACCTGCTGCAACGTGGGTGAAACTGAAGGACATTGTGCTCAGTGGAGCCAGTCACAGAAGGACGAATGCTGTGTGATTGCACTTAAATGAGGCCCTAGAGCAGCCAGATTCACAGAGACAGAGAGCGGAAGGGTGGGTACCAGGGGCTGGGGAGGGGGCGGGGGTTTCTGTTTTGTGGGAACAGAGTCTCAGTTTTGCAAGATGAAAAAGCTCTGGAAATGGATGGTGGTGATGGTGGCAGAACAGTGTCAATACGCTCACCTGTTCACTCAAACATGGTTAAGATGGCTAAGGTGTACGTTATGTTGATTTTACCACAATCAAAAATTAAATCCGCTTCTGAAATTGACCAGGTGTTTCCAGGTGCCGCACTGTTTTCATGCTGCTTTGGGCAGAGTGTCCAACACGATACGGAAGCCGGGAGAGAGGACCAGCCCTGCTGCCCCTTACTTGGGCCCAAGGTAGAAGCCTTGCTGTTTTGGTTTTGTGCGAAGTGCCTTGGCTCTCCTGCTGCCAAGATGCCCTAAGTGCAAGCGAAGTGCTAAGATTTCTGGTGGCGCCGAGGTGGCCCCAGCGGGGGGGGGGGGCGCTGGTCATAGGACCAGGACGGGAAGGCCCGTGTGTCTGGGCTGTGGGCACCACCGGGCCCCACGAGGTGAAGGCAGCCCTTGCTCTCAGCTCCGTGCTCCGCAGAAAGGAGCTAGCCTGGCCTGCTCTGCTTCTGGAATGACGGGGAAAATCTCCCCACCCCACTGGCAGCCATACAGTCTCTGTGGTTTCTGTCTGGAGGAACAGCAGCCGGGGGAAGACAAACACGAAGACGGGGATGGGCCAGTGCTGACCCGGACACTCGGTCCCCACTCGGCGGGAGCCACTGGGAGCCGAAACCCTGTCCGGCCCTAAACCCACAAACAGCCCTTGGCTGGGATCCTACAGGGCTTCTGAAGAGCACAGCCCACCCCCGACCCAGAAAACCCAACTCGACACGCACAGGTGCCTGCGAAACAGCAGGCCAGGCGCCGGGCACTCAGCTCCTGGGCTCTCTCCAGAAAACGGGGCTCACCGGGGTGAGGATACCGCGCTGGGCTGTGCCAGACCAGCAGGGCGGCGGGGAGAAGGGAGACGGTGCATCAGTGTCTCAGGGCGAAGCAACCCCAGGAACACACGGCAGGGCGGGACCCAGGCGCCGCCTCCAGCAGCCGCGACTTTGGGAAAGTTACCGGCTCCTCCAGGGCCGCGGTCACGTCACCTGTGAAATGAGGACAATCACAGAAAGCGCCTGCCCCCCGCCCAGCGACTGGATGAGACGCTGCAGGTGAAGCACTTGGCCGGCCGCCCAGAGGGTGGTTAGGACGCACTCGACTCTGGCGGTTGTTAAAAGAACAAGTGTTCTGTGCTTCAGTCCATTTAAGAAGCCATTTTGTAACGTGTGCTCGTGCGTGCCTATGCGGGAGCTGGTGGTGGAAACAGGAGCCAGCCTGTGAGGACCGCTGAGACACGACACCTGTCCTGGCTGGTCAGCTGGACGCCGGGCGTTTGGCCCAAAGCAGGAGGCAGCTGGGGTCTGTCTGCATCTTCTCATTTGTGTTAGCGCCTTTCCTTGGGTGGTGGAGGAAGGGCGTGTCCATCGCCCGGAGACGGCTCGGCTCGGATGGTTGGTCTTTCTAAGGCCGTAATAAAAAAGTCACATCCACTGCGTTTGCTTGTTATCGCTGTGAAACCCACTGTTTCCTGGTTGTGATGATGGAATTCCACATCACGTGAACTTAAGCAAAAGTAAACAAGCAACCCTCCCCCCACAGATGGGGGATTTACCGTCTCACGTAATCGGAGAGAACAAAGATGGGTCTGAACAGCTTCAGGCACAGCAGGATCCAGGCGCTTAAATTGCCTCTCTCCTTTTCCTCTTCACTGTTTGGTCGCTGAAAGCTACACTGTAAGCCCTCACTCATGACTGCAGATTGAGAGAGAGCCTCTCTCCTTCAGAGCCCACATACTGGACTTCACGGAGGGGTTCCGATGGCCTGGCTTGGTCACTTGCCTTCTCCTTGGGCCAATAACTCTGGACAGGGAAATGGGGCACCACGCTGGCCAGACCTGGGTCTCACATTCACCCCTGCAGCTGGAGGATGGTGTGGCCAGCAACCCCACAGGACTCACGTGGGACAGAGGAGGACTACAGCAGATAACACTGTCTATACCGGTGAGGCTTTGCAGGGGGTGAGTTGTGTACCCTCCAGGCACTCGGGGGCCGCAGCCTTTGTCCCGGCCCTTCACCTGCGGAGTTCATCGAGGGATCACACAGGGCCACAGTCCAGGGAGACTCCATGTGCTGAGTCAGGCACTGCTGCTTTGGGGGAAATTCCTGCCATCTTGTTTTCCTTTGCCTAAAACTGCCACTTCCGTGTTGGAGGAGGCAGGGTGGCAGGAAGCAGGGGTGAGCCGTCCAAAGACGGCTGGTTCGCGAACATTCCTGGAAGGTCAGCGTTGACATCAGCCGTCAGGCAGGACCTCTGGGAGTCATTAACCCACGGAAACAGAGCAGCGAGGAGGGTCGGCGCAGGGGCTGCGAACCATGAAGACACGTCTCCTCCGTGAAGTGTGACGGTCCCCGAATGGACTCTGTAGTTGTTTCAGACAATGCCAGTGCCCGGCCCTGCCCTTTCAGATTGAGGGGACAGACGGCCGGGCACTGTGGGGTCAAGTTAAATGGCTTGCAAGGCCTGTGTAAGATAATGAATTGAGCTGACCCCGACAGTTGCAGGAGCGATCTCGAAGTTGGAGAGCAGCAGTGTGCAGTGTGGCGGTGTCTCAGGGCCGGTCCGGGTCTGACCGTGCCCTGCCGCCGGGCCCGCCCTTTCCTGGACCACGGCTCACGCCACCTTCAGTTCACGCTTCTCCTAGCTCCTCCTCAGCTGGTTCGGACTCTGTGGGGCCGTCCAGAAGCTGCTGTTTGGCCCAGATCTGGAATCCGGAGCTGAGTCAAAGCACACGTCTGATTTCAGAACCCTGAGCCCATCCAGGCTCAACGTAGGAACGCACTGTGGACAAAGGTGTTAGTGGGTCCACAGAGGTAGGTCCCTCCTGGGAGCCTGTGACGGTGACTTTACTTGGAAACAGATGAAATGAAGGCTCTCAAGATGAGATCATCATGGATTGTCCCATGGCGGTGCCCTGGTAAGAGCCGAAGAAGTGACAGACACAGAGAAGCCACGGGATGTGGCCACCGCCAGCGGAGCTGGGAAGGGCGGGAAGGACCCTGTCCTGGGGCTTCCAGAGGGAGCGCGGCCCGGCGACTCCTCGATTTCAGACGGGGAACAAGTCTGTGTGGTTGTCAGCCCGTGCTTTGTGTCTGATGGTCATGGCTGCACAGGTGGCCTTCTCAGACCGTGGGAGGGAAAAAATGACCAAAAGTGACTCAAGAAGAAGCAACCGCCCGGCCAGTCCCCAGCTGCGGCAGTCTTAGCCTCGCTCCCAGAGTTAGCATTTCCTCATTTCTTTTTAATGCTCCATGAAACCCAAGTACAGTCCAGACCCCAGGCACCTGGGCTCGCGTGGCTGGCTGACCACCAGCCCGTCAAACCCAGCGGAACGGCCCCTCCTGCTTCCAGACACACCAACGCGTTTGTTCCTAACTCCACCTCACTTGGAAGTTATTTAAAGAAGTTCTGATACAGCGAACTGAATTGTCTTTTGACTGTTTACGTACCGCTTCAAAACAGGCGTTCTTTAAAAGTCCTTTGGCTGAGTCTGTCAATCCTCAAGGGCCCCGCTTTGATTGACTCAAAGCCAGGTACACCAGCACGGGATGTGAGCGGACGGCGACTCTGAAGGCTCTGGGCTGTTAGATAATTCCATCATTTCCCTTTAAAAAGCTCTCAGGATTCAAATAAAACGACTTGGGGCAGTAGTTCTCAACTCTGACTCACTTGGACTCATTTGAGGAGCTTGGAAATAACAAGAGCAGTGTTTCAGCCTCTCTCCAGGTCAGTTCATCAGACTTTCTGGGGGGACCTGGGCAAGCAGCCACCTGGTCGCGTAGAGCCCACCTCCTGGGCTCTGTGGAAGCCCCCCACACCAGACCTGCCCCCGCCTCCGTGCGGCCTGGGTCAGGCCTGGGCCCAGGGCTGGCAAGCAGGCATGCTGCCCCTGGCCTCTGAGTCGGGGCTGTGATGCCAAGCCGTAGGGCCCCGCAGGACCCCTTCTGCAATGGGTGGGCCAGGCTCCCAGGGCAGTGTCCAGTGTTGATGATGGTGATACAAACTGAGGACACAGACTCAGAGAGGCCAGTGACTCACCTGGGACCCCAGACCCCAGATGAGCAGAGCACAGCTGGGATCTGCAGCTCTGGGCCGGAGTTCTAGGCAGTGTCCTGGGCAAGGTGGCCTGCAGGTCCCACTCTGTGACCCGCCAGAGCCTCCATGAGCGACCAAAAGTGTCTCTTTTTTTTTCAAATTTAACATTTTATCCAAGCATCATATGCTTACAGAGAAGTTTACAGGTCCTAAGCGTGCACCTGAGTAAGTTCAGACAAGGCAGACCGCCCTGTGACTCGTCAGACTGGGGCCACCCCCGGCAGGTGGAGAAGGGGACCAGAGACCAGACACACACACAGAGGTCCCTCCTGGGGGGTGGGCCAAGGACCCCCACCGCAGCCCTCTGCAAACAGCATTTGAATCAGGCTCACATCTCCAGAAGTTGGGGTCAGAGCCCCGGAGGCCCAGGAGCAAATACATAGGTGAGAGGTCACCGGACGCTGAGACCAAATATGCTGCCCTGGGGTGTGCAGGCGAGACCTCACTCGTGCCCCTTCCACGGGGCTGCATGGCAAGGGGCAGGGGTGTCCACACAGGGCTGCAGCACCTGGGGATTTGCAGACACGCACAGTTATAAGTTCCACCTGAGGCAGAAGCTCTGAGGTGGGGTCAGCGCTCTGCACTTTAATAACCTCCAGGTAATTCTGACCTATGCTCGCTGGAAAGCCACTGGTGTGTGCAAGCATATGAAGCAAGTACTATAACCTGTCTCATTTCACAGCTGAGGAAAAGGAGACTCAGAAGACTTGAGCAAGCTGCCCACAGTCACCCCGTTAGTAAGAGGGACTAAATTAGTTAAGATTAGGTTCATCTGTGAATAACAGAAATAAAACCCCAACTGAACACTGGAATTTGACACAACATTGTAAAATGATTATAAATCAATAAAAAATGTTTAAAAAAAAGAAATAAAACCCCAAAGAAACAGAAACTAAACAAAACAGTTTATTCTTCCTTCATGGTCCAAGACAGATGCTGGAGCTCCAACCATTATATCCACACTCCAGGGAGCAAAAAGGAGGAAAGGGAGGAAGGTCTTGCCCTGTGCCTTTAAGGACACTTCCTAGAATTTTGTACATGACTTCACCTTGCATCCCTTCAATTGCTTCACTTCGCAGAGAGAGAGGCCGGGAAGATGAAGTCCTTATTCCAAGTGACTGTGCTCACGGGTAAAACCCAAGGTTCCACGGCTGTGGAAGGTCACAGGTACTGGGGACAACCAGGCGTCTCTGCCGCTGTAAATCAAAGCTGAGACTGTTCTGTCTACACGTTGCCTTTCTCCTCCTCCTTCCGGAAGTCCCGCAAAGACCAGGCCTTCTGGAAAGTCTTCCTACTCCCAGCTACAACCCCAGCGCCTAGAACAATGAGGGGCCTGCAGCAGGAGGTCTGTCATTGAAGGTAAATTTCAGAAGGTTGACTTGGGCAGTGTACTAGCTGACCGTGGGCGTGGGCTTCAGAATGTGCTGTTTATTCGGCCCCAGGCTTCCAGGCCGAGCCCAGCTGGCCCCAGCGAGGATGACTGACTCTGATTCTGTTTCTCGCTGCTACCCCTGCCTCCACGAGGGGACATGCGTCTTTGGGCTTTCAAGATAGTCCGTGCCATTGACCAGGCCTGGAGAAGCCTGGGCGGGGCCACCGCCTGGGGGGTGACTGGACGGGTAGGGTTTCAGGCTTGTGCCCCCGTCCCGTCCAAGCCTGGAGGCCTGGGAACCCGGGCTGCAGCTGGGGTGCCTCCCACCGTGGGCGAGGCGTTCCAGCCCCTGCCCGCTCTGGGCTGGGTTTTCCCTTGTGAATGCAGGTTCTGGGAACCCTGGCCACCCTCCTTTCTGAGTTCCCATGGGGTCCGCACCCGCCTCTGGGCTGCCAACTGGGTCAGCGGGGTGGGGGCGGTGCTGCCCACACTGGCTGCTTCCCTGCCGACTCCTGCAGCCTCGGAAGCCCAGTTTCCCCTCAGTATTGACGTGTGGGCCGAGACAGCCTTGTTCAAAGGCGGACTGTCCAT